CCTGAAACACTTTGAGCCCAATTGCATTGTGAACAGAATGGCTTACGACATGGAATTTGCAAAACGGTAGGCCATTTTTAATTTATATTTGTCATGATCATAACAGTGCAAAACAAACTATGAAAGAGCGCTTTTGCTTGGCAGCTTAGCAAACATTAATTTCGTGGGTGCGACACAGTGTGCGGACTGCATTGCAAGTGTGCATGTATTACTACACAGAGGTAGGGTAGGTACACCCCCAAAAAGCACAACACAAGTAAATACCAATGCCCCTCCACTCGCGAATGGATGTAGGCCTGCGCCACGGGTGCAGACAAGATAGCTCAGGCTGCAGAAATTTTGTACTATACAGAAGCAGGATCACACGTTCAACTATAAAAAATAATTTAGAAAATTACCATTCATTCAATCTTCGTGTCTCGACGCCACTCCATGTCTGGCTGCTTTGGCACAACTTCCACGACATCCACAGCGTCGGTCTCAACAACCATCAACCCTTTATATTCCTCTTCTTCAACTCTTCGAAGACATAGGCACCCTCTGAAGAACTTGTACCAATGTCCTTGTTGGAATAATCCGATAAACCTTCACTGCTGCTGTAATCTTGTAGTGAGTCCGCCATGTACAATGTATTAAATGCAAAGAATGCTTTGATCAGTTCTGGAATTGTCACACATCCGGGTTCCGGATTTTCAAGGGAAAATATAACTTGACCGGAAAATCGAAATAAATCAATTTTGGGAAATTATTTTCAGATTTCCTTTTTTACTCTTGTTAGGGAGATAGTTTGGGAGCTAATTCTCCCTTTTTAAAAATTTCAGTTGTTACTTCACATAAGCCCTTTAAACAAGAATAGTGAACAGAAATGCACAAAAACGCCCAAAATCGGCCACTTTTGAAACTCTATGCACGACGCGAGGAGTCCAAACCATCTTTCGGCAAAATCCACAGGATTTCACACCTTCCAAACCCCCCAAAATGTCATGACCCATAACCCAATCTAAACTAACAAATTGTGCCGTGGCTAGGTGTGCCCTTTGGGCACTGCCTGAGGGACGGTTGACAGGGGGCTCTGCCTCATACACCCCCCAGGACACATTGATATAGCTACATCCATAATGTAAACATTAAACTAAATACCTTTACATATCGAAAACCTGAATGTCAATTTTCTTTCACTTCTTTCGGTCAGTCGGTTGGTCGGTCTATTGTGGATCGCTTCGTTTTTATCACTTTTATCGGGGTTTGGGGTACTTGGCCTCAGAAATCAAACTGCGATAGTTAAGGTCTTTTTCTTCTTCGTTGCCACTGTGTAGTCGAGAATAACCTAGAATCGACGCAACACCGAAAACAAAACACATCTAGCCGGCCTTCTGGGAATCGTCCTGTCAAACCTGGCGGCCAGAAACGCGAAAATGCGCATGCGTAAAAGGTTCTTCAGACTGATTCCCATAAATCAGTCTAATAAATCTTGAAACACGTTAATGAAGTATAACAACATTGACAAAGGTCTTTGAAAGCATAAATGTGGAACAGCAGACACTGATAATGAACCAAATAGCGTTTTCATAAACGCGTATTAATACATGTAACCTACTTGAGAACGCAGGAAAGAGTTAAATGTCCATAATTTTGTCCATATTCATGTCAACATGGCAAAGAAATCTAAAAAAGATGGGTCGATCTTCTCTCCTGTTATGTATCTCCTTTATTTTCAATTTGCACTTCTTTAGCCAAAGATTGAAAAGTATTTTAATTTACGTGAAGGTAATCATTCCATACACGTTTTTACTGTAACCCTGATTGTTATCCGCGGTAAATTTATCTTGATAAATTCAGTTGCATGAGGAAAGTGGTGATTATAAATCTAAAATCATAAAACACACACACGCATATATATATATATATATATATATATATATATATATATATATATATATATATACATATATATATATATATATATATATATATATTTTTTTTTACATAGAATGCGAAATAGTACAAAATTATTACATTTATGTATGTGCAGGAAAATACATTTTGGTATACGATGCCGAAATAAAACTGGCACGAAAGGTGATGAATAAGAAGGCATTAATTATTAACTGGTACACTGGTTGCCGTCCCCTGATATAAATAAATGTCTATTTATGGAAAGATTACCGGTGTGTGCGTGTGTGTGTGCGTGTAGATAGAGAGAAAGAGGAGATAAAAGAAAGCTTATTGAAATTATTGTAGCTCAACTAAGAAAATCCTTTATATCTTTTTTTTATATTGTAAAAACATAATTTCAAATTCTTTATCTGGGTATATGCAAACAGTGTCTGTGTAGATGGTGGTGGTGGTAGGGGGGGGAGAACAGGAATTAGGCTGCTTTGTGTGAATTGACTACTCATAAGATACATTTGTGCTCCTTGGACGAGTATGATCTAACAAAACCGGCTTGTGGACTTGGAGTTTCCTTGACATAGCTTATGACCTCCCTATCTATTAGGCCTACATCATCACCTATCATTTTGAAGCGCCACCCAAAATCACTAACTGCACATTAAGCTTGAGTAATCCATTGATACCAAATACTATGGATTATATGTTCCTAAAAAACTTCCAACAAATTTGTATTGCCACAGGGACTCAGAAATAAGTATTCCATAATGCCACATAACAAACATGCAAGTCATAGGGCACCTTCCACGTCACTGGGATGGTAGTAAGTAATCATGCTAATCCTTTTATAATATTGCAGTATATAATTCATGTGATTGTCACAATCATAACTTGGTTATATATTTGTTACCACTGATACTTCCATGAATTGTTATTGACATGTATAGATATCTATATTTTAAGGCAAGATCAAGCGTGAATTTTAAGCGGACTGTGAGAGGCTAGGAAAACTACCCCATTCAGCAATAATCGAAAAGCCAGTCGCTCTCGCGCTCACTCATTTATAGCCTTGTGGATCTGTGCCATTGTAAATACTGAACTATAGCATTATGATATTGGTAAAGTGGTGGAAAACAAGTTTCGTTATCCATTCCACCACGTGTTATTTCAGGTGTATTTGATTTATCCTAGAACTGGAACGGTCTAAAGAATAGACAAGGAAATTATCACTAACTTCATCAAAGTACTATCGAGAAGTAACGGCTTAATTTGCAAGAAATTACAAAGTTGTAAGGAAATAGTGGAGTGGTGACAATTGCACGAGATCCTAGGTTTTTACTTGAGTCGGGACCTTATTCATTGTGTAGATATTACTTTGGATTTTGAATATTGTTTTCATAATTTGCTTATTTCAATTTGTTTTATCCTGATTTACATCATACCCACCATACTGTAAAAATTCTTTATATGGAATATAGTGCATCTATATTTGAGAATAGTGAATTAAAAAAAACACTCATCATTTATTAGCAAAAAATAAGAAATTAAAAATATTATGTGGTATTCTTTATATTTAATATCTTACCTTTGTTTCAAATGTTACTTTAAGAAAGAGGATATCGAGACTCTTTTTCTGAAAATATTTTCGAAAAATATGTAGCCACAGTTTCATTAGTGTTCTTTTATTTTCATCTTCATACTGTGTATATTTTGTACATTTATTCTGGGCGAGATAAAATTCAACTGTTTCATTTTCTTTTTTGAACTAGTTTTGTTAAACAAAAAATATCTCCTAAACCTTTTACTTCAAAAGGGTGTAATGTAAAAATTACACTTTTACTCTTAATACCTGCTTGAAGTCTATTTAATTATTTTCCACATCTGAATCTGGGATCTCAATTGTTGCAACTCTTAACTAGTTTTGATAGCTTGAGGAGGGGTGAGCTGGTACCTGCCTACGAAGCAAAGACCAGTGCTTCAAAGTGATTGTTGGGAAGCCTCCTTTGCGGAATTATGCTATAGCAATGATGCCACACAAATACATTAGACTTGGAGATGTTTAATTGGTTATACACTATTGCTGAACCTTAGTTTGATCAGCACCTTTTGGTGACGTTTCTTGTCTTTCGGGTCGATATCGCCCAGGTGGAATAAGTAAATATCAAATTTGTCGAGAATATCTGTGAACGTGTTCCTACAACAAGTAATGATCAAAGGCTGCTTTCAAAATACATGTAGTATATTATATTGTTAGCAACCGTTAAATATGATTTATTTCCAAAAAGTTTCCACAGACCGCAGTCTTTCTTCAACAGCTTTCATTCTAATACTGTCAGCCTGCCACAGAACACACTTCACAGACATGGAGGGGGGGGGGGGGGCGAACCAGCAAACTAAAATTTGTTGAAGCCTGTGTGAATTATTTCCTCTTGGCACTTCCAGAAAATGAAAGGACCGAATTTGCTTCATTTTTAGCATTTATATCTTGTCAATTTATGACATGATGGAAATAAATAGCAAGGGTTAATTGACCCGTAAACTGCGACATACATATGATAAACATCATGCAACTGCGACTAGCATCATATGGTGCAAAAGCTATTTATAAACTTGGTGGTTTATATTTTGCAGCAATATATCGTGATCTGACGTTTGGCAACTAAGGCAGCTTTATTACATCAACACAACTGAAGGAGGATGGATAATGAAATTGTTATTCCTATACTTTCTATGCAATCCTTTATCTTATAACAGTAAAATTATTTTTGTAATATAATAACTTTTGTGTCGATAATCGCGCACCACGGGTATGACTGCCGTAACCTTATCGTGCAGTTGTCGTGTTAAATAAGGCTAGTATTCAGTCAGAAATAATTCGCTTATAATTTTAAGTTCCTTCATAAAATGTTCTTCACTTAATAGTAGATTAACAATTCAGATTTTTTTGGGGGGTGGGGGGGGTGTCGGGGCGGGGAGGATTTACCTTTACCTCTATAGTGTAGTTATGATAATAAATACAATAATGTAACTGACTTTGCGGGACAAGCACTAGGCTGAAGTGTGAATGCCTATGCTACCTAAAACATTTAATGCAGGCGTTTACCTTCTAGTGTGCCAGCAGGATGAAAAGGTGCCTTGCAATGACTCCAGAGGCTGTTATTTTCCCACTGAGAAATGCGACGGCCTGATACAATGTCACGATGCATCGGACGAGCTTCAGTGTTCATGTTTCGAACGCATGCATTCTGCAGGCAAACGTTGTGATTCTTATCCGGATTGTCCAGATTTCTCAGATGAACGTGGCTGTGACGGTAAGTAATACACACACGCGGTAAGGGGCGTTGTAATATAAATTTCAATTTAATTTTTATTTAATAGTGGCACCAATAACCTCTCTCCAGGCTGTTCCCCCTGGGAGCTGAGTTGTGAGGAAAATGGAACCATCACATGTGTACCGGAAGCAGCTCTCTGCGATGGACATTCAGACTGTGCTGATAATTCTGATGAACAGCTTTGCTCAAGGCTCTCGCGAAGGCAAGCTGATACTTCTGTGAGTCCTGGATTTCTATTATTTTCTAGCACTCGCTTATTCAGCTTGTTTGGTTACAGACAAAAAAAAGTCTGCTGTTATTACCATGTTTACAGATCTAAAATGTTTGTCATACTTTTTATCTGTTTAGAAATTAAGAATGTCTTAAGTATGATAATTTTACATATTGCCGATGACAAATGATGAGCAAAGCCATTCTGTTTTACAGCCACTACTTACCTTGCATAACGAAGGTTATCTGGAGCTGAAGAGAGATGGGTTCTGGCGTCCTCTTTGTGCTGACTTGGAAACCAATTATGCCGAAGTTGTTATGGATCACTGTGATGAGGTAGTTGGATCAAGGTAAGGCTAATTTAACCGTTTATCGGTTACTTGATAAATTCATTTACAAACAATAATTAAGCAAATAAATATCTGTGCATGTTCATTTATGCAATTTCATGTATGAGCTGGGATAGGTAAAGCATGGCTATTCGTAGTGGAAGCATTGTTAGCCATTTGGGCAGCAAAATGGGTATCAGATTTTTTTTTTATTAGGGCAGCTTTTTTATGTATATACTATATAAAATATTGATCTATGCAGTAGGTTTATTCACAAAAATTTACTCTTTTATCTACTTTGTTACACTGAGAACTAAAAATTATCAAGATTGTGTTTCGTCAATGTCAGACCACCGAGCACCGGAAATCCTTTGCTACGTCCCCTCAAAAAAATCATTGCCTGTATGCCGAGGGTTGAGAAAGTTGGTGACAGCATTGGTGAAGGAGAAATGGGGCCAAGAACTACCAGATGTGAAGTCGGAGCGCTCCTGAAAGAGGAAGTGGCCTGGGAGGTGGGGAGGGTCTAGGTAGAATCATGAGCAGCATCAGCCATGCATTGGGAGACGGGTCTTAGACCAATTCCTTTAGGAAGTCAGAGCGTAGACATGAAGGAAACAGAAATGGATGTGTGTATATGTTTATATATATATACGTGTGTGCGTGTGTGTGTTTGTGTATAAAATTACTGTTGGTGTCGAAAAAGAAGTCATTGACTTATGTTGCATTTAATGCAGATTTTTGAAAAATTGCCCTCTCTTTCTCCACAGACATACTGAGGATATTCAGAATCTTGTACCATTCACTGGAACTGGGCCAACAATGTGGGTTCACTATAACGATACGTCCAAGACTTTCTCGGTTTCCTCCCACTGTGGCCAACATCTACTTTTATATGTAAAATGCTCAGTGCCGACTTGTGGAAGTCAGACAGTCAGAAAGCGTGAAAGTCGGCCAGTCAGACAGCGCAGGAAGATCAACCTCTATGAAAAAAGTAAGTTGTTACCAATTAGGAGAAACTTGATCATTGATAATATAATGTGATGAGAGAATTAGTTATTGATGCGAGAGATAAATACTATTAGCGAAACCCAAAACAAGTATACAAGAGCTGTCGGCAGACTTTATATTGGCTATGCATGTATAATTATCACGAGTAACAATACATTTCTATAACTTAAATTCTTTCATCTGCCTCTAACACTATTGATATCTTGTATAATATTAGGACTGTAGGTTGAAATTTAAATAGCTAATGCAGGATTCCTCAGTATTTATTTAACATTAATCGTTTTGTGAAATTACGAGACATTTATAAAATCTTTATTTTTCCATGAAATATTCAAGGCTATTAGATTGTAGCCGTGACTGTATTTGAAAGAAAATGGACAAATATTTTAATACAATCAGTATCACTAATCCTAATTGTGCCCTTGGTGAATGGGCCTTCATATAAACCATTCTATAAATTATCTATTACATATTAGTAACCAATAAAATGAAACGTAGAAATAAGAAAATGCTCCTTTCCCGCTTTAATATAACCTATTAGTATCACCGCAGATTTAGATCTCTCTCTCTGGTGTGACGCTCATTTCCAAGTAGACACTAGTAAAACTAGTAGGAGTTATGGAATGAAATATACTGTCCAAACTAATTTGAAGAAGCTAATCTCCTTACGCCACAAACATACAGGTGTTGAAAGTTCGCGGCCACATCGCGGTCTTAACAGGATTGTCGGCGGCCGGGAAGCGGAAGCTAATGTTTGGAGCTTTGCCGTCGGAATCATCGGCGACGGCAAATACCACTGTGGCGGAACTATCCTCACGTCAGAGTGGATTCTTACTGTTTCGCATTGTTTTTCTGATTTGTAAGGATGATGGGGAGTTGGGGATTTCCGTAATACTTGCATTATTAATGCACTCCTGAAAAAATTATTGTGCATAAACCAATGATTGTATTTTCAGTTATATTCAACGAAATTTCGAAGTTCAGGCAGGAATGTATCGGCGCGGTTCCTGGTCTCCATTTGAACAGACCTCTGTTGTCTCTCGCGTGATTCGTCACCCGGAATTTAACTCCCTTCTACAGAATGATGTGGCACTCCTCAAACTAGAGACTCCTCTTCACCTAAACAGGTGATTGAAACCTCCTCCTAATTCAAAAAAGTGAAGGCCGTTTGCAATTATGAAATACTTATGAGAAATAATTTTTATAGTTTAGTTGCTTACTCCTTTTTTGTTGCAGATGGGTCCGTCCTGTGTGTTTGGCAAGAGACCTGCAGCCAAAGGAGGAGGATTACTGTACTGTAGCAGGATGGGGAACGCAAATAGAGGGCGAAACACAATCAAAGTGTAAATAATTACCTTTTGGGATTTTGTTCTAATAACACAATGCTAACTCATATGAATGTTTCAAAATTATACCCTTTTCTCCCAATACGATTCAGCGGATACCATGATGGAAGTCGATGTTCCAATCTTAGACACCTGTATAAACAGTTTTCCGGGATATAGCGACGAGTCTTTAATATGCGCTGGATATGAGGAAGGCATGAAGGATGCTTGTGCAGGGGACTCCGGCGGCCCATTGATGTGCTTGGGGTAAAGTGTTCTTTTCAACAAAATGAGCCTTTTCTCATGCATTGCATCAGTGGGTCTTTTCTCATGCACTGCATAAGCGTGTAATGACATTAGTACTTATGTTGAAATAAAATAGCATCAGCTCTCATGATGTCCATAGGTGAATATATTGTGTATAAAAGCTAATATTCCCAGGGACTCGGAAGGCTGGGTGCAAGCTGGGATAGTCTCCTTCGGGCGCGGCTGCGCTCGACCCAACGAGCCTGGGTCCTATTCCAGGATCACCCACTTTCGCTCATGGATAATGGAAACCTTGGGTGAGTAATCTGCAATTGATTCCAAAGTGAAAATTTAAAATCTCGTTCATAATCCTAGGTCTAATATCGTAATTGGCATTCAAATTGCCAGAACATTTACTGCAGGGATTTCAGAGGTGTAAATCAAATTTCTCGTCTAATGCATTGTATTGTGTAACACAACACCGATCTCTAGAACTCTCATAAATCATCACTAAAGACATGAAATTTTCTTAGCTGCTCTACATTCGGGTTAAAGAATTGAAAATCACCATTTTCCCTCATTACTGTATCAAGGTATTGCGCGTTTAACTATATCTTCACATCCCCTGGTCCTTACTTTATAGCATGGATATGAAAGCTTTTGCAAATATTTCAAAATCCACTGAGGTCTGATTCCCGGCGCTGTGTTCGAATGAACCAAAATAAAATCATGGCATCTCTTGAAGAAAGCCTATGGAAAGCGTTCAGAAATACTGCAAGGTGAAATCTTATTAGCTTGCCTCAATATTCTTAGATTGTTTTTATTTTCTCTCGTGCAATATGCCCAGCCCCCCTCTCTCGTGCAATATGCCCCCTCTCTCGTGCATATGCCCAGCCCCCCCTCTCTCGTGCAATATGCCCAGCCCCCCTCTCTCGTGCAATATGCCCAGCCCCCTCTCTCGTGCAATATGCCCATGCAATATGCCCAGCCTCTCTCGTGCATCTCTCGTGCCCATGCCCCATTGCATAGCAATATGCCCCCCTCTCTCGTGCAATATGCCCAGCCCCCCTCTCTCGTGCAATATGCCCAGCCCCCCCTCTCTCGTGCAATATGCCATGCAATATGCCCAGCCCCCCCTCTCTCGTGCAATATGCCCAGCCCCCCCTCTCTCGTGCAATATGCCAGCTCGTGCAATATGCCCAGCCCCCTCTCTCGTGCAATATGCCCAGGTGCTCTTCGTGCCCCATGCAATATGCCCCCCTCTCTCGTGCAATATGCCCAGCCCCCCTCTCTCGCAGCGTGCAATATGCCCAGCCCCCCTCTCTCGTGCAATATGCCAGCCCCCCTCTCTCGTGCAGTCGGCCCAGCCCCCCTCTCTCGTGCAATATGCCCAGCCCCCCCTCTCTCGTGCAATATGCCCAGCCCCCCTCTCTCGTGCAATATGCCCATGCCCAGCCCCCCTCTCTCGTGCAATATGCCCAGCCCCCCTCTCCTCGTGCAATATGCCCAGCCCCCCTCTCTCGTGCAATAAGCCCAGCCCCCCTCTTTCGTGCATTATGCCTAGCCCCCCCTCTTTCGTGCATTATGCCTAGCCCCCCCTCTCTCGTGTAATATGCCCAACCCCTTCTCTCGTGCAATATGCCCACCCCCTCTCTCGTGCAATAAGCCCCGCCCCCCCTTCTCGTGCAATAAGCCCAGCCCCCCTCTTTCGTGCATTATGCCCAGCCCCCCTCTTCGTGCATTATGCCTAGCCCCCTCTTTCGTGCATTATGCCTAGCCCCCCCTCTCTCTATGTCTCGTGTAATATGCCCAGCCCCCCTCTCTCGTGCAATATGCCCAGCCCCCCCCTCGTGCAATATGCCCAGCCCCCCCCCTCGTGCCCAGCCCCCCCTCTCGGCAATATGCCCAGCCCCCCTCTCTCGTGCAATATGCCCAGCCCCCCTCTCTCGTGCAATATGCCCAGCCCCCCCTCTTTCGTGCATATGCCTAGCCCCCCCTCTTCGTGCAATATGCCCAGCCCCACCCTCTCTCGTGCAATATGCCCGGCCCCCCCCTCTCTCGTGCAATATGCCCAGCCCCCCCCTCTCTCGTGCAATATGCCCAGCCCCCCCCTCTCTCGTGCAATATGCCATGCCCAGCCCCCTCTCTCGTGCAATATGCCCAGATATGCCCAGCCCCCCCTCTCTCGTGCAATATTCCCACCCCCTCTCTCGTGCAAATTCCCAGTGCATTATGCCTAGCCCCCCTCTCTCGTGCAATATGCCAGCCCCCCCCCCCGCTCTCTCGCGCAATATGCCCAGCCCCCCCGCTCTCTCGTGCAATATGCCCCCCTCTCTCGTGTAATATGCCAGCCCCCTCTCTCGTGTAATATGCCCAGCCCCCCTCTCTCGTGTAATATGCCCAGCCCCCCTCTCTCGTGTAATATGCCCAGCCCCCCCTCTCATGCCCCCCCTCTCGTGCATTATGCCACCCCCTCTCTCGTGTAATATGCCCAGCCCCCCCCTCTCGTGCCTGGCCCCCCTCTCGTGTAATATGCCCAGCCCCCTTCTCTCGTGTAATATGCCCAGCCCCCCTCTCTCGTGTAATATGCTCGCAGCCCCCCTCTCTCGTGTAATATGCGCAGCCCCCTCTCTCGTGTAATATGCCCCCCTCTCTCAATATGCCCAGCCCCCCCCCTCTCTATATGCCAAATATGCCCAGCCCCCCTCTCTCGTGCAATATGCCAGCCCCCCTCTCTCGTGCAATATGCCCAGCCCCCCCTCTCTCGTGCAATATGCCCAGCCCCCCCTCTCTCGTGCAATATGCCCAGCCCCCCTCTCTCGTGCAATATGCCCAGCCCCCCTCTCTCGTGCAATATGCCCAGCCCCCCTCTCTCGTGCAATATGCCCAGCCCCCCTCTCTCGAGCAATATGCCCAGGCCCCCTCTCTCGAGCAATATGCCCAGCCCCCCTCTCTCGTTCAATATGCCTAGCCCCCCTCTCTCGTGCAATATGCCTAGCCCCCCCGCTCTCTCGTGCAATATGCCCAGCCCCCCATTTCTCTCGTGCAATATGCCCAGCCCCCCCCCATTTCTCTCGTGCAATATGCCCACCCCCCCATTCTCTCGTGCAATATGCCCAGCCCCCCATTTCTCTCGTGCAATATGCCCAGCCCCCCCCCATTTCTCTCGTGCAATATGCCCAGCCCCCCCTCTCTCGTGCAATATGCCCAGCCCCCCCTCTCTCGTGCAATATGCCAGCCCCCCTCTCTCGTGCAATATGCCCAGCCCCCCTCTCTCGTGCAATATGCCCAGCCCCCCCCCCTCTCTCGTGCAATATGCCCAGCCCCCCTCTCTCGTGCAATATGCCCAGCCCCCCCCCTCTCTCGTGCAATATGCCCAGCCCCCCCTCTTCTCGTGCAATATGCCCATGCAATATGCCCCAGCCCCCCTCTCTCGTGCAATATGCCCAGCCCCCCCTCTCTCGTGCAATATGCCCAGCCCCCCCTCTCTCGTGCAATATGCCCAGCCCCCCCCCTCTCGTGCAATATGCCCAGCCCCCCCTCTCTCGTGCAATATGCCCAGCCCCCCCTCTCTCGTGCATATGCCAGCCCCCCTCTCGTGCAATATGCCCAGCCCCCCTCTCTCGTGCAATATGCCCAGCCCCCCCCTCTTTCGTGCAATATGCCCAGCCCCCCCTCTCTCGTGCAATATGCCCAGCCCCCCCCCCTCTCTCGTGCAATATGCCCAGCCCCCCCCCTCTCTCGTGCAATATGCCCAGCCCCCCCCTCTCTCGTGCAATATGCCCAGCCCCCCCTCTCTCGTGCATATGCCAGCCCCCCCCCCTCTCTCGTGCAATATGCCCAGCCCCCCTCTCTCGTGCAATATGCCAGCCCCCCTCTCTCGTGCAATATGCCCAGCCCCCCCTCTCTCGTGCAATATGCCCAGCCCCCCCCTCTCTCGTGCATATGCCCAGCCCCCCCTCTCTCGTGCAATATGCCCAGCCCCCCTCTCTCGTGCAATATGCCCAGCCCCCCTCTCTCGTGCCCAGCCCCCCCCCCCTCTCTCGTGCAATATGCCCAGCCCCCCCCTCTCTCGTGCAATATGCCCACCCCCTCTCTCGTGCATATGCCCCCCTCTCTCGTGCAATATGCCCAGCCCCCCCTCTCTCGTGCAATATGCCCAGCCCCCCCTCTCTCCCAATATGCCCAGCCCCCTCTCTCGTGCAATATGCCCAGCCCCCCCCTCTCTCGCAATATGCCCCAGCCCCCCCTCTCTCGTGCAATATGCCCAGCCCCCCCTCTCTCGTGCAATATGCCCAGCCCCCCTCTCTCGTGCAATATGCCCCCCCTCTCTCGTGCAATATGCCCACCCCCCCTCTCTCGTGCAATATCCCACCCCCCCTCTCTCGTGCAATATGCCCGCCCCCCCTCTCTCGTGCAATATGCCCACCCCCCCTCTCTCGTGCAATATGCCAGCCCCCCCTCTCTCGTGCAATATGCCCAGCCCCCCCTCTCTCGTGCAATATGCCCAGCCCCTCTCTCGTGCAATATGCCCAGCCCCCCCCTCTCGTGCAATATGCCCAGCCCCCCCTCTCTCGTGCAATATGCCAGCCCCCCCCAATGCAATATGCCCAGCCCCCCCCTCTCTCGTGCAATATGCCCAGCTGCCCGCCCCTCTCTCGTGCAATATGCCAGCCCCCCCTCTCGTGCAATATGCCCAGCCCCCCCCCTCCGTGCAATATGCCCAGCCCCCCCTCTCTCGTGCATATGCCCAGCCCCCCTCTCTCGTGCAATATGCCCAGCCCCCCCTCTCTCGTGCAATATGCCCATGCAATATGCCCACCCCCCTCTCTCGTGCAATATGCCCAGCCCCCCTCTCTCGTGCAATATGCCCAGCCCCCCCCCTCTCGTGCAATATGCCCAGCCCCCCCCTCTCTCGCAATATGCCCAGCTCTCGTGCCCCCCCCCTCTCTCGTGCAATATGCCCAGCCCCCCCCTCTCTCGTGCAATATGCCCAGCCCCCCCCCTCTCGTGCAAATATGCCCAGCCCCCTCTCTCCTGCCCATCTCTCGTGCAATATATGCCCATGCAATATGCCCCCCCCCTCTCTCGTGCAATGCCCAGCCCCCCCTCTCTCGTGCAATATGCCCAGCCCCCCCTCTCTCGTGCAATATGCCCAGCCCCCCCCCCTCTCTCGTGCAATATTCCCAGCCCCCCCTCTCTCGTGCAATATGCCCATCGCAATATGCCCAGCCCCCCTCTCTCGTGCAATATGCCCAGCCCCCCCTCTCTCGTGCCCAGCCCCCCCCCTCTCTCGTGCAATATGCCCAGCCCCCCCCTCTCTCGTGCAATATGCCCAGCCCCCCCCTCTCTCGTGCAATATGCCCAGCCCCCCCCCCTCTCTCGTGCAATATGCCAGTGCAATATGCCCAGCCCCCCCTCTCTCGTGCAATATGCCCAGCCCCCCCTCTCTCGTGCAATATGCCCAGCCCCCCCCCCTCTCTCGTGCAATATGCCCAGCCCCCCTTCTCTCGTGCAATATGCCCAGCCCCCCCTCTTTCGTCTGTTAGATGCCGCTTAGTCATCTTTCACGGCCATATATCATGTATCATCATGGGTAAACACAATCTTGTGTACTTAAAAAGTTTGAGTTTAATTATTAGCCGTTTCCTGTATCTACTTCTAGCCTTAAACAAGGCATTCTTCTGTCATTACCATTCATAACTTCAAATCCTCTGTCCTTTCCCATTGTTTAATATATGTATGATACATGGGATATTAGAAATAGTCTAGTGAAGGCAAAGCGATTCGAGGGCTACGGAATTCGTACTTGTAATTCAGCTAACAGATGAAAAAATACGTGTGTCGTTTACATAGCAGTATGTGTAAGCGAAGCAGCTGATTGGCCCGCTTCCTTTTCTGTTTCGGAGTAAACTTGGGGTAAATGCCTCGGGACAAGGCTGTGCACTGACTTCACTTACATTTCTTAGATTGAATTCTCTGCATCACAGGAAGAATAGACGAAAATGGGAGCTTACCAGCTATTGACCTCCAAACGAAATGTCTTGGATCACTATGCCAACTACCAGCAGGAAACTGTCTACAAGCAAAATATGTGTGTGACAAGGAGGTGAGCAGTTTATTTTGTTGGTTTGCACTAACAATGTTTTCGAATCCGTTTATTTGCCTGCAGGGTTATTTTTTAGGTACCAAAATATTACATCATACATGTAAAAACGCAAGTAAATACAAGGAATAATTGTTAACCACTTTTTATTGCTTGTCTCCTATCTCCCTGTTGCTTTTCTGTCGTTAAGTAGAAGCTTTTAAGCAACCCGAAACTTCTAACGATTTGAAACAGGTCTATCTTGTATCATCGTCTTGATATGTCAGTTTGTAACTGACATGCAAATCATTGAAAAAAAGTTTTTTCATATTTTCACATAGATATGTCAAAAGAAAACCATTAAAGTACGTCATATGCTGGATTCTCATATCCTCATAAATGTTACATATAAATTCCCCAAAGATTTGGCTCCAGTAAATTTTAAAACGTACCATTGTATATTTCTTAAATAGGTAAACTGTATAGATGCTGTGGATGAATTGTACTGCAACACCGAGGTACTAGCAACCCCGTCTACAGATGGTTTGGATACGATTCCCACCACAACAGACAATGCATCCGATGTCAACACACAAAACACCGTGACTGCCAACGACACATAGCTGCCAACGCGCCTCCGGCGCCATAGCTGCCAACGACACCGCCTCCGGCAGCTGCACATAGCTGCCAACGACACCGCCTCCGGCGCCATAGCTGCCAACGACACCGCCTCCGGCGCCATAGCTGCCAACACCGACGCCATAGCTGCCAACGACCGCCTCCGGCGCCATAGCTGCCAACGACAGCTCCGGCGCCATAGCTAAACACCGACACCGCCTCCGGCGCCATAGCTGCCAACGACACAGCCATGGCTTCAAATCAGACATTGTATGGGGGTTATAACAACCAGTTCAGTGAAAGTAAACAACAGCAGTGCCCCGATTGCCCAGAGTGCTCTTACAATGAATTCGTATGTGAAAGGTAAGTGTACCAAATAGATATGCATTTACACAAAACACGCACGCACGCGCGAATACGACATACACACACTCACACACACACGCTCACACACACACGCACACACACGCTCACACACACGCACACGCACACACACACGCACACACACGGCACACACACACACGCACACACACGCTCACACACCACACACACACCACACACCACCACCACACACACGCTCACACACGCACACACACACACACCACAGCACACGCTCACACACACGCAACACGCTCACACACGCACACACACGCTCACACACACGCACACACACACACACGCACACACACGCACACACACGCTCACACACGCACACACACGACACACACAGCAGCGCTCACACGCCACACACGCTCACACGCACACACACGCTCACACACGCACCACGCTCACACGCACACACCTCACACACGCTCACACACGCACTCACACACGCACACACTTCAGACACACACACGCTCACACACGCACACACACGCTCACACACGCACACACACACGCTCAACACACGCGCACACACGCTCACACACGACTCACACACGCACACGCACAACGCACACGCACACCACGCACAACACGCTCACACACGCACACACACGCACACACGCACACACACACACGCTCACACACGCTCACAACACGCACACACACGCTCACCACACGCACACGCACACACACGCTCACACACGCTCACACACGCTCACACACACACACAACGCACGCACACACGCGCTCACACACGCACACACACGCTCACGACACGCACAACACGCACACAACACACGCTCACACACGTCACACACGCTCACACACGCTCACACACGCTCACACACGCACACACACGCACACACACGCTACACACGCACACACACAGCTCACACACGCTCACACGCACACACACACACGTCGTGAACACACACGTGAACACACACGTGAACACAACATGCACACACGTGAACACACATGCACACACGTGAACACACACACACGTGAACACACGTGAACACACACATGCACACACGTGAACACACACATGTGAACACACACTGAACACACATGCACACACGTGAAACACACACACGTGCACACACACACCACACACACACACACATGCACACCACATGAACACACACACATGCATGCACACGTGACACACACACATGCACACACACACACGTGCACACACACACACGTGAACACACACACACATGCACACACGTGAACACACACATGCACACACGTGAACACACACATGAACACACACACACGTGCACACACACAACACGTGAAACACACGTGAACACACATGCACACACGTGAACACACACGTGAACACACACGTGAACACACACGTGAACACACATGCACACACGTGAACACACATGCACACACGTGAACACACACACATGCACACACGTGAACACAACACACACACGTGAACACACACATGCACACCGTGAACACACACATGCCAACACGTGCACACACACAACACATTGACACACATGCACACACGTGAACACAACACAACGTGACACACATGCAACACGTGACACACACACATGCACACACGTGAACACAACACACACGTGAACACACCATGCACAACACTGCACACACGTGCACACACTATGCACACACGTGACACAGTGCACAAATACACACACACATGACACATGCACACACGTGAACACACACATGCACACACGTGAACACACACATGCACACACGTGAACACACACATGCACACACGTGACACACACACACACGTGAACACACACATGCACACACGTGAACACACACACATGCACACACGTGAACACACACATGCACACACGTGAACACACACATGCACACACGTGAACACACACACACACACACGTGAACACACACACACATGACACACACATGCACACACGTGAACACACACACATGCACACACGTGACACACACACACACACGTGAACACACACATGCACACACGTGAACACACACATGCACACACGTGAACACACACATGCACACACGTGAACACACACATGGCACACACGTGAACACACACACATGCACACACGTGAACACACACATGCACACACGTGAACACACACTGCACACACGTGACACACACATGCACACACGTGAAAACACACACATGCACACACGTGAAACACACATGCACACAGTGCACATGCACACACGTCACACATGCACACACGTGAACACACACACACACACGTGAACACACACATGCACACGTGCACACACGTTGAACACACACATGCACACACGTGTGCACACACACACACACATGCACACACGTGAACACACACATGCACACACGTGGACACACACACAAACGTGAACACACACATGCACACACGTGCACACACACATGCACACACGTGAACACACACGTGAACACACACACAACATAACACACAATGACAACACAACACACACACACATGACACACGTGAACACACATGCACACACGTGAACACACACACACGTGAACACACACATGCACACAACACACACAACACGTGAACACACACATGCACGTGAACACACACGTGAACACACACATGCACACACGTGAACACACACACATGCACACACGTGAACACACACATGAACACGTGAACACACACACTGCACAGCGTGAACACACATGCACACACGTGAACACACACATGCAGCACACGTGCACACACGTGCACACACACAACCACGTGAACACACACATGCACACACACGTGAACAACGTGAAACACAAACGTGCACACACACGTGAAACACTGAACACACACATGCACACACGTGAAACACACACGTGAACACACACGTGACAACACACACACACGTGAACACACGTTGAACAGTGCAGACACGTGAACACATACATGCACAAGTGAAACATACACGTGAAAACACGTGAACAATACATGCAACACCGTGGAACAATACATGCACACACGTGAACACATACAATGCACAAACGTGAAGCATATCACGTTGAACACACACACACAACATTGAAACACCGTTGAAACACACGTGAACACATACATGCCACATGCATGACACACACACACACATGCACACACATGAACACACACACGATGCACACACGTGAACACACACACTATGCACCACGTGAAACAACACACATGCACACAACGTGAACAACACACATGTTGAACACACATGCACACGTGAACACACACATGCACACACGTGAACACACACACACCATGGCACACACGTGAACACACACACACATGCACAACGTAACACACCACACATGCACACACGTGAACCACCCACACATGATCAACGTGAAACACACCACATGCAACACGTGGAACACACACCATGACCACGTGAACACACACACACATGCACACAGTGAACATTACACAACATAAAGACACATGCACACGTGAACCCACAGTTTCATGCACACGTGAAAACACAAGCTAGATGCACATGGCACACACGTGAAAATATTAACACACTGCAACACCGTGAACACACACACACATGCCACACACGTGTACACACACTCACACATGCACACACGTGTACAGACACACACATGACACACGTTGAAACACACACAACATGCACACACGTGGAACAACACACACAGGCCCACATGCAGGCACACGTGAACAACACACAGTCACACATGCACACACGTGAAGCACACAACACTCACATCATGCCACAACGTGAACCACACACAATGCACACTACGTGAACACACAGCACACATGCACAACGTGAACACATCACAGAGTGAGGAAGCACATGCCGCACGTGAAACACACACACACATGCACACACGTGAACACAACAACGTGACACACTGAAACACACACTCGACATGCACACACGTTGGAACACACACAATGCACACACGTGTAACACCACACACATTGAACTTTTGCACCAACACGTGGAACACACCACCCACATGGCAACAGCACGTGGAAACACACACATGCACACACGTGAACACACACAACTATGCATCACACGTGAAACACACACATGCACACGTGAACACACAAACATGCACAACGTGAAACACACACACGTGACACACATGATCAACATGGCACACACGTGAACACACACACACATGCACACATCTGAACACACACACACTGCACACACGTGAACTACACCACACTGCACCACGTGAAACAAACACAATGCACACACGTGAACCACACAGCACACATGCACACACGTGAACAACACACACATGCACACACGTGAACACCACACACATGACACACGTGAAGCAACAGGCACACATGCACACTCGTGAACACACACACACATGCACAACTCGTGAACACACGCACCACATGCACAAACGTGAACACACTACGTGAACAACACACAATACACACACACGTTGAACACACACACCACACACAGATCACTGACCACACACACATGCACACACGTGAATCACACACACACACACACATGCAAACACAACGGAACACACCTCAACACACATGCACACACGTGAACACACACACACATGCACACACACAACAATGCACACCGTGAACACACAAACACATCTGCAACCGTGACACACATACACAATGCCACACGACGTGGAACAAACACACACACATGCACACTCGTGAACCACACACCATGCACACCACGTGAACACACACGGTGAACCATCACACACACACTACACGTGAACACTACCACAACACACCACGTGACAACCACATGACACACGTGAACACAACACACAAATGTCGTACACATG